CGGGTTCAGGTGTCGGGTGGTTAGATTAAGTCGTTGACATCGCGTCAAATGACCGGTGGCCGGTTGACACGAATAGGACTGGATCACTCCGCGGTCCGTTCCAACCCACAGAATTGTACCCGAGCCTTGATCGAATGTGAGGGCTAAAATGCAACCTTGTCCGGTGCATTTGACCGAATCCAGTGACATGGACTTTGTAGTTCGGTACCCAGTTGAGTGAACTTGATCACGTCCTTTTTTAATCAGTTTACCTGTTGACAAATTCAGTGTCTAAATAAAGAAAAAGGTTGAAGGGGTGGGAGTGGTGATGAACCGGATGGACAAGGCTTGGGAACAGATGGCACTACTAGCTGTGACTCGAAACCGAGAAAATTAGTGAACATTTGACGAACTCAGAACTTTTAATCGAAAATCACACCAAACTTTGGGGCACTTGTTCACCGAATGCTGCCAATTGATTTAAATGGTCGATCAGACGTAAGAAGATATTTAGACACTTAATTGTATCGCGTTTGCAAGGATAGTTTCCGGACTTCTGGAAATTCGAGAAGTTTTCTCGGTTGCTCTAAATGTGGCCTTGTTTCTTCTCAATTAGACACCCTTGTGTGATGAACAGCGGACGGATGTGTAGTCACGAGGACCTGCTGTTCGTTCAATCACGGAAGCTGGCAAGTCTCAGGAAGTGCAGTGGACAGGGCGTGGTATGGAGCAGGACGAAAGTGGAACTGCTGTTGTATCACTGCCCGTCGTTTATTTTTCTAGGCGTCAATGTAATCCACTTAGTAATACATATCTTTACGGTGACTTCAAAGCCGACATATTTCGCAGAACAATTCGGAAACACCTGTGAATATTCGTGCCATACGTCATACAACATTTTTCCGGTTTAATCACGTTCTTTATCGCACTACCAACTCGCGTCACAGTTGTTACCGCTTTAAATTGTTGGCTAGATAACGGGTTATGAAGCACTCTGGTGATTCTCTCTGTAATCATCTCCCAATCTAAGACTCGGAGTTATGAACATAGACACGTGCATATTAAACAGACTATTGTTTTCAAGGTCGTCTATTAGTGCGTACCAGTGTGTCGGAAAATGTTTTGACAAATTCGAGTCATTTCGAGCGCGATGAAGGTTCAGGAGCTAGCAATAATTGTTCAACTAGAAATAAGATATTTAACGGAGAAGGCGCTAAACAGGAGAGACCAGATAGACACTGTTGTATGTGAGTGAGACTCGAGCGAAAAACCTTCACCAAATGCAAACGAACCCTGCTGGAAACATCCAAATCTCGTGCCGAACTGAAACAGACAAATTAGAGGACGAACAGTATGCGCGAGAGAGGAAATTCCCTTGGATTGGCCCTTCGTTTGCGAAAGTATTACACTAGGCCCAAAAAGATCAATCTGAAGTGGATTAAAACATCGAGCTGAAGTTAGTAACGGACATGATGTGGTGTCCGTACGTGTGTGGTTGGGCATGGTTGGTTTAAAAACCAAGTGAGACTAAAGATGAAATTCATGTGTTTCTCGACACTTGAGATGAGGTCTCTAGCCCATGATTGCTGTCAAGAGAAGCCTCACCTTCCCCCGAGAATTCTCGCGGTTTGCATTTGAAATGGATTGGAATCAGCTGACACAGTGAGAATGTGACAGTGTTTTCGCGAGGGTCCTGAATACGTAATCGGGTCGTCTTTTCATCGGCGCCCTCGTAACATCTATTCCGGACAAATGACTAGATAGCGATCAACCCCATATGTACCACACATTTCTCCCTTTCTCAACCTACGTTTGGCTGTCACTACCAATAAAGACATGCACTGTTTGCAACTGCCTTTTAACTGGGATCGTTGGGACTAGATTTGGTGATAGTTTTGGCGAGAAACAACAAATACAATCCTAGGGTTCGTCTTGTGGTCGCATCGGACCAACTGGCGTGTGACGACTAAGGTCAATTTATGTGATTCACTCAGGATATGTTGATTAGGCTGAGCCACTTACTTACTTCGGTCGTTCTATCAATTGCAGTGACCGATCGGTCAAAAGCATTCACAAAGTAGACCTTATCTACGTATTCTCCAACTTGTCACTCCATTATCACAAAAATCGACCTGAGGCACTATCGATCGACAACGACAAACACATTCCGTGTCCATGACCGTGCGCATGACCTTCGTCTCCACTCATTGTGGCTTCACCTAGTCACACACACACACACACACACACATACACACTTCACGTCCGACAAATTTCAAGTCTGGCTTTTAGGTTCATTTCGAATTTTCACTCTAGACATTGAATTAAATGAATCACCTACTTGAATTCGACCCCATGCACCACCGACCACAAGCAAGTTGTAGTTTAGCGGCTGAAAGGCGCACACCAATACAGGACCGACATCCACGCTCGAAGCGGGATACATTCGTCGCAAGTTGCCACCTTCGGTATCCCACAGACAAACGGAGCCATCGAGTGCAGTACTGACTAGGAGGTCATTCGCGAACGACCAGACGACATCGGTGATAGGCGAGGCTGGTTCGTGACCGCCAAACAGCACGTGCAACACACCGCGTTCACCACCGGGCCGGGCAGAACAAATGGAGATTGTGCCATCCGAGGAGGCCAAGGCCAAGCGGCTATTGTCCGTATTGGCGAAACGAAGCCGATTAACTGCACCTTAACAATTAGAGAAACGGGTGAAAGAATAGTGTGATCCATCAAACGATTAGAGCAATGAGAATGGGTCAGTAACTCAGACTGCGCGATGGGAGGTTGTCTCGCACAATCCGTGCTGAGTACTCACAAGGATTTAACGGGCCTTTACCATTTCAAACTTGACTTAAGAAACTCACTTTGAATTGAGCGCAACACGCTGTGATTGAATCCGCTTTCGTGAAGAGCAATTTATTGGTAAACTGATCGCATGTGTTTTCTACACCCTTATTGATCATCTGTCGTTCCATATTCCTTTTGAAACGTGTTTTGGTGATACGTGAAACAATAAAATGCAGTTTGTGTGTGTTATACACCTATCTTTGAAACTACATTCTAGGTGAAACTATCGGGAAGAAACAAAATAGAGGTTGCTTTAGTGGACTGCGTGTTGAAAAAAAATGCGCATCACGGCGATCTGGTTTCTTTCTGTTATGTTATTATATTACATTTCACACCCGTCTAACGCCAGACTGTGTGCCAAACAAATCGCGGTACAATAATCCGTATAAAAAGAAAAACATTCCATGATTTGCACGTGGGTTGAATACTGTCA